CACGTCAACATCACTATTCAATTAATCCTTAAATAGAAAAAGCTAAAAGTTGACATCCTTAAATAGAAAATGTTGAAAGTTGACATCCTTATTTAGAAACTGACAAAGTTAACATCCTTATTTAGAAAAAAATTAAAAATTGACATCCTTATTTAGAAAAAATTGAAAGTTGACATCCTTATTTAGAAATTGACAAAGTTAACATCCTTAAATAGAAAAAAGTACAAAGTTGAAATCCTTATTTGCACCTTTACTTGTGGCAAGGATGATTAATGATTAATGGAAAAATTACTATTTGATCCCTTAGTAATTTTGTTTAGTGCAAATCCATCCCTAATGGTCTAATAAGGTTACAAATTAATGTTTAGATATTAAATTTAAGATTAAGCACTATTTAATCCTTTTCTCTTTCTCATGTTTAAAATAATCTTCATGAATAATTATGTGATATGGAGGTGAATTTAATTGAATCATTTTAGATTTATGAGTTTATGTTATGATATTATTTTATTATTTAATACCTTATTTGAAATAACTAACTTTAAAATAAAAAAAAATAAAAAAAAAAGAGTTTAGGATTTGGAATCCTAATGGGAAGTGAAGAAAAGGAGTTGATTAAGATTGGGTATCCAATCTGATAAAGAGTTCAACTAAGTGAAAAAGAAATGTAAATAAAAGTTGGGGGACCGATGTTGTTATCTTACCATTCTTAGAAATTGCATGATGGTGTAAAAGTTTGACACGGACTTGTTTCTTCTACAGTAGGTGAAGATGTCGACACATAACCAGTTAGAAGTTATTGTGCATATCTGACACAATGTAAAGGTGTCAATACTTAAGTAATTTGTAGTAATTAGGCATTGAGTAATTTTAAATCTTTTGATATTGTGTATTAAAATTTATACATAATGTATTAGATTTTATGTGAAGAGCATCTATTAATATAATATCTTATTTTAGTTATATGTGCATAAAAATATTTATTATGTGGTTTGATTTTATAAATCAAAATAATTTTTTATATAATAAATATATATTAATTTATTCCATTTAAATTATAATAAATATTAAGTGTAACACATAAAATATGTGTCAATATTTGGAGGTTAAAGATATATGGTTAGTGACAAATGAATTATTGATAAGATATGTTTTTCATATTTTTGGTTTAAAATAATTTTTGTGAATATTATTATGCATATGATATATGCTTCTTGGAGATTAAATTTTAAGATTTTGTTAAAGCAATTAGTAACAATGGGAGGTACGTGACTTTATATACCCATTATTTATATAATGTAATATCCTTGGATTAAAGTTCTTAAAATTGGTTATACAACTCATTTGCAAAGTTTTTAAATTTGAATATTAATAAAAAATAAAAAATAATTTATGGTCATTGATAAATGAGTAGATAATTATGAAACTTTAGTTCTCATAAAAGATTACTTATCTTCATATGTGGTTTAACATATGGGTTTCCTAGCACTGTATTTTCTCATAAGGAAATAAAGCATCCATATTTGGATATAAAGAACATATTTACAGTTGCTAATAAACTATCTATGCAAATTAATTATGCATTTGGAGAAAGTGTAATTGTTATTTTCTACTAACTTTATGGAAGTTAAGAAAATTTTCAGAGAATATGTATTAAAGGTGCACCAAAGAATGTTGAAAATTACAGTTTCAAAGATTCGTTAGGTTGTATCAAGGCAAATTACAAAGGTACAACCATGCAAGGTAACTGAGTATGATTTTACTCATATTAATATTTTATTTAAGATAAAGTTATTTGTTTTCATATGTGGGTTCTAGCGTATGAATTTTATAAAAAGGTTTTGTGGAATTAAAGTTGAGTATAACTCATGACATATAATTTAAGGCTAAATCATTGGTTTTATAATAGATTTTGTTTGGTAATTAATTACCTTTAAGGAATAATTATATGTGTCTATTATGCATATTGATGATAGCCTAATCGTGGCAGTGCATGAAGTTTTTTAAATCTCAACAAAAAGATATTTGATAAAGTTTTAAGAATTTTTAGAATTTGTGCATCTTAATTTATTTAAGATACTGATGGGATTTTATATAACTTTCTTTGAGTATTAAAGCAAAAGAGCTAATAAGTATTGAAAGTTTTTCCAAAAGTTTTTTAAGATTCTCTCAATTCATATATATTAAAGAATTACCATTATTAAAAAGTATAAAAGATATAATTGAGAGGGATTATAGAACTATATATATATATATGATAGTCCTGATAATGTTTTATGACTAATATGAATATCAAGAGTTTATTTATTAAGACTAATGATTTCTATCACTTAAGATTTTTTGGGATATTAAGAAATTTTGTTCCAATAGGAGATTGGTTAATCTTCTAATAAGGATTGTGAAATGTTACATTATTTATGGGTAATTATTCTAGTGGGAGCTTGTGAGTTGTTGTAGATGGTACTACCAAAGTAGACTATTTATTAAGATTCACATGTTTCCCAATAAGGATTCTGGAATGTTTTATTATTTATAGATAAGTGTTCTAGTGGGAATATGTAAATTAACGTGGGAGTATGTAAATTAACGTGGGTGATACTGCCAAAGTAGGTCATCTATTAAAGTCGTATATTTCTCAATAAGGATTATGGAATGTTTGCTTCTTGAAATTAGTGTGTATGATTACCTACCCAAAGGGAGTAGTTGTGCATATTGACTAAAAGAAGCGTGAGTGGTTAGTAAGGGGTTTTTTTTTTTATTCTTGGTTTTATAGAAAATTTTCCACCCAAAGGGGATTATTTTCTATATAACTGTTCTTATTAATTCACTTGTAATAAAACTTTTGAAATTTAATAAAGTTTCTTACCCATTGGTTATATTGAATTACTATGTTATTAAAACTAGTTGATCTATTGGGAAGATCACATATGAACCATTAAAATTAAGGTATAAGTTTGCTACTTCCATATTAGTGCATACAAGATTCTGCCCAAAGGTGATTGTTGTATGTATTAATTTGAAGTAGTGGAAGCAATTAGTAAGGATGATAAATATTTATTCATATTTACTAAAAGTTAATTTTCCTACTAATTGACTTGTTAAGGTTTAATTTTATGAACTTATTTAATTAACATAAAGTGCAAATAAAGTATACATGTGTCTTGAACTCTTACGAGTAAAAGTGAATCATGTTATAGATTAGGATGCTGATTGGTGCACACCCGGTGTTGACCCGGGTGTGCA